CACGGCTTCAGGCAGAATGAAGGGCTGTGTGTTTTTCTAGGCACTCATGGAGCATCTTAAGCAGGAAAGGGCCCAGATATTGGCTGAGGGCTGGGGGCTGGGGGCAGGTGATGTGTTTCTAGTCTGCTGACCGGACACGTGACAGTGCCATACACCAAAATCAGAAAGGAGGGAAGAGATCTGTCAGTCTTGGACGTGTCATTTTGGGGTACTGATGGAACTGGGGGTGGGGGTCTCCCATGTGGGAGCTGTCGGGCCGCAGGTGCCAACAGCAGCCCCCTGGGTGGTGACTGTCCAGGGAGGGAGAGCCGGCAGAGGGGCGAGGGCTGCTTCGCGGTCAGCGGGGAGCGCACTCGGGGGCAGGGAGGGCCAGGATCGCCCACGAGCTTGTCTAGGCCCCACGATGCCCCAAGCACGAGGCAGCTGCAGGAGGAACAAGCAGCATCGTAAACCTGCCGAGGGAGGGGAACCTGACTGCTGGGGGGTGGGGGTGGGGGGTGTCCACACCTGACTTCGGCACCAGGGACACGGGAGCAGGCTGCAGAGGACGGGAGCCGCGAGCACGCCACCCACTTGCCGACGCCCCCTTTCCTGCAACGGGTGCGCGAGTGCTCTCAAGGTCTCTCCCCTCAACAGAAGTCACGGGGCTCTGACAGGCCTGGTGGGGAGCAGAAGTTCTTCTCACTTCCATGTGTTGTCTGGGTACAGATTCTACCAGAAGGTGGAGCCTGTGACGGTTTGCGGGCAGGTTGACTCTGAAACTGACCCCAGGGAATAGGGGCGAGTGACGGGGAACAGGGAGATGGAAGAGGTAAACTGAGGCAGGTGCACTTGTCAGCCGGTCACCACCGGGAGCCAGATGTGGGGCCCTGCAGAGCTGCCTCAGCAGATGGGGCGCCTGCTGCGCAGAGGACGGGCCCCTCTGCCAGCACCAGGTGCCCGCGCCTGGTCAAGCTGAATAGGGCAATGCCACGATCGGGAGAACACCCCCTTGGGGAACCCGGGAGCCCTCCAGCACCGCTCAGAACTCGCGCACCTCGGTCTGACCCCCAACCCCAGGACGAGCGTCCGTGAAAAGGACGTGGCTCAGTCAGAGCTACAGGCCAAATCGAAAGGCGCCCAGCTGCGTCTCCACGGGGAGCAGATCTGGGGGTTTCCACAGCAGATCCCAGGCCCAGCACGGAAGGCAAGGAAGAACCCCCTCGGGATCAGACCGGCACTGCTTGGATGTGGGGGGCGGGGGGGAGTGGTGGAGAAAATTGTTTTGTTTCATATTTTATTACATCAATGGCTTGAAAATTTTTATTTAACTTCAGCAAATATTGGAAATAGAAAAATGAATTCTGCAGAATTTCACAAATAAATTTTCCAATCTCCACTAACAAATGTTATCATCCAATGGCTAAGCAATTATAATGCTATGAACATTCACCATGATGAATGTGCTGGAATATAAAACAGGCGAGAGAGACATCAAAATATTACTTACGACGGCATCATCACAACGTATTTTCTTTAAAATCCCAACGTGGATTTTATCACTTCAAAAGATATACAGCATTTCCATTATATTTGCAAACTTAACCTTATACATCTTTTAAAATCTTGAAAAACTTTTAAGCAATCTAAAAAGCACTTAGCAAAGTTGATAAGTCTACATATGGAATACTACCCACTCCGGCATCAGTTTGTTTGAGGAGAAGGTGACTGTAAACACTCATTATCATACAACATGCATAGACTATACTGACCTTCCTTCTTCCGAACTGTAACGTTACTGCAATTGTGCTTTACGATCGTTAGGAGAGGCTGTGAGATCCGGGAGCGGCGGAAAGAGGGGTTCGGAGCATTGCACAGGGTCGCTAGTTCCGATGAGCTAACCTCCGTGAGTGAACTCGAGGCAAAGTCTCACTTGCTTTTAAAAGCCTGAATCGTGGGTCACGAGATTTAGGAGCAGCCTAGACGGAAAGAAAAGGAGGCTCTCGACTACGCTGGCCCCCCGTTTCCTTTGCTCACATAAGCAGGGTCCAGTCAGTGTAATGCACTGTTTGGCTTATTTTTGGTATGCAATTATACCAATAGTACATCTGATATTCAGAAAGACAAAAATAGGGCATAGTTGAAATTTAAAGTGACAATGAGCACACTTATAGTGGGGTGTGGTATTTGAGGAAACTTTATATACACGGAAAACAACTGCTTCATTAGTCCACCGCAGTCAAGTTGTAAAACTCAACTACTGTTTCACTTTTGATTAGAGGTTTGTGACCATCAAAGGGTCTTATAAGTTAAAAAACTATCAAAAACCATTTTGAGGAACTGGTGTCTCGGTACAAACACACCGAGACAGCGCAGTGGCATGTCACACTAGCGCCTGGCTCCCACGACACCAGTGCCTGGCTGGCGCGGCCGAGGCAGGCTTGCTTCCTGGTTAAAAGAGCTATATTACAGAATTGATCACTGTTTCAGACCAGTCAACACAATATTCAAGTAACAAGGTGTTTCAATGGATAAGTGAAAAAAAATTTTACCTAACACTTTACACATCTACATAAAATTAAATAAAAAGAACTTTTAATGCATATGCAATGCAATTTATATCTTTTAGGATTTCTAAACTAAAACTATCATTTGTCTCAATGGTACTATAATTTGCACAATAACTTATACTTAGGAGAAATTTTCCACAAAAATATATATATAATTATGACATTCACATTGATAATTTTTAAGAAGACAAAGCTTAAGTGAACATTGCATCCGGAGCAGTTGTCACTGTGGACCCTTGCACATCCAAACACGACCTGCTGATGCACCCCGTCTTGATATGTTAAAAAGGGGGTTTCACACAAATAAGACCAAAGCACTCCGCTTTTAAAGCTAAGTGATCTCTTGCACTTACAACATCATTGCAGACAGTGTAATGAAACAGTTGAAAACGCAGTGTTGTCTTCTGCATGGAGCTACCACGAAGCAGACAACTCTTTTTCTCTCCTGGCAACTGAAAACGACGAGCCCCCTTCCCTGGGAGAGAGAGCCAGAACCCAGCTGCTCTGGTCTTGGAAACACCGGCACAGCGGCTCTTCAGGGCTTGGAGACCACTTGGTGCCAGGAACCAAGTAAGGGGCTGGTGCAGACTACAGACAGAGGCCTGGCACTGCCGGCGCGCCCCATAAGAACCAGCATCAAGCTATCGAGCACCGCCAGATGGGGTCAACCCCTAAGGAAAACAGCCTGGGGCGAGAGGAACAGACCTGGGGGCAGAGCGAGAAGCCCGCTGCAGCCAAGTGCCTACTTCCGTTAAGAGAGAGGAGCTCGTGAGAAGCAAGGAGAAACTGAAGCTTCTGATCATGCCTAGTGTCCCCTTAAAGTGATGTGCAAAACATGCCACCTCCTCCCCGTCTTCCCCGCCATCTTCCAATTATGCAGCAAGCCTATGACGCAAACGAAAACAAGCCCTGGCCATTACTAGTGTTATTCTGCTCTCCCCGGCCCAGCAGGAGGAGTGAGCTGTGACTGCCCTCCGCTGATGCTGCTCTTCACATGCTCTTACCTGAATGACAGACACCTAGACACCTAGCACAGGGACAAGATGATGAAAGTTGGGAAACTCCTATTTTATTTCCTATACCCTCCAAGTGACCTTTTTC